GGTGTTTACATCATAACTTCTAACAAATAACAAACAATATAAAACTGAAACTAGAAATAACAGAACAGCAAAATAACCACAGCTGTGACTAGATACATTCTACCCTACGGACAGAGTGGGACCACAGCTGTGGGGCCCACACCAATGTTCTCTACAAGTTTCAACACTTGGGCTCTGTTCATTTTGACTTACCTGGGTACGTGAGTTTACCCGGGCAAGTGTTTCCCAAGTAAAACTTGTCCGGGTAAGATAGGTTCCAGCGTTCTTGTGTGATACAGGTAAAGGGAAAGGTGGGTTGAGGGAGCATTATTTTAGCGTGGGTAAGTTGCTTACCCACCCTATAGGAGGGTATCAGTTACCTAGGTAATTAATACTCTTTAGAGTCGTCACTTACAATGGGACCAAATGTAGTAGCGAATGAACGTGTGGATCATGGTCAGTTACTCGGTTGACCAACTTACCCCCCACTAAATACCAGCAAACAAACGGGGCCTTAGCACTTTAGCATGACACTTGTAACATCTAGACAATGCTTCAAGCTGAAGTCAACATAAAACCTTGGCACTTGCACTCATAATTGTGGTATCATCAGGACACTAAGTTTCTTATTTTTACAATGTTTATAGATTATTTATGTAAAAAAAGTTATTTTCACCATGTCCCTGTGCCATTCTTTTAGAGATTGGCATATCAAATATCTATGGACACTTAACAGTTGGCACCTGTATGATTTACCAAGTTAACAATGAATGTCACCATCATGATTTAAGCCGTACCTATGGGCTACAGTGGCCTTATAAATAAAAGTAACATCAATGCCTTATCTGAACTACTGGGGATCTGTGAAATGCAAGCTTTAATAGTGATGCTGCCAAATTTGGAGCCGAGGGCAGCGGAGTAATTTCTGAGGTCCGAGGGCTGTAGGTCCCGCCTACTAAGAGTGAAAAGACGTCAAGAGGCCCTGGGAGTGTTCCCAGGGGCGAGGACTCCGATGATCAAGTTAACCAAGGGCTCAAAGAGAGTAGAGATCACTACAAGAGTGTAAGTAATAGCTCAAGTATGCATGCCTACATCTGGTTGCAGTGCCCCTTTTATAGTAGGAGTCGCCTAGGTGGGGAGTAATGTACGATGTGTAACTGTCCCGTATATCGCAGTCGCGTAGGGGGACCTGGAGAGGTGTTGGATGACCACGATCTTATGCCATTGGCTCAAGAGTAAATGCGCCCAGAATGTGCGTCCACATTAAGTGCTCCTCACTTGCTAAGGGCGAGAGTTACCTGAATGCCCTTAGGAAATTGTTGTCATTCGATAATACCCCTGGCCGATGCCACATGTTAGGATCTGGTGGGCCGACCACATATACTCATATCAAATAGCATACTATGTGGTTGGAGGTTTTATTGGTCAAAACCTATTGTTCAATGAGGCAATGGGACCTCCACCTGGATTGAGATAAACTTAATGAAAAGGGATTCCATATAAAGGTCTTCAGTCAAGAATTGAGGTAAGTAATTTTGTCTTCTCCTTCATTTTGGTTGGTTTTTTTTCAATTTTGAATGTAGATTACTGTGTTGTGTTCTGTTATTCATCCAAAAAAAAAAAACACTGTGCTGGGTCAAAGTTACAGAGCTGTTGTGTGCATGTTGTAATAAGACCAGGGTATGAGCCAGTTCTTGATTTTGATTATGAATTGTATTTTGCTTTGTGGGTGGGAGGATTTCCTATTGTTGGTGGGGGTTGCAATGCTCTTGTACTACTTGCATACTTCTTTCTTTTTTATAGAGTTTTTATTTTTTTGTCAAAAGAATTGATTTAAGTGATTCTTTTATTGCCAAAGTAAGATGTTAATTTCCCTCAGTGGTCCCAAATTGGGTTTCTGTAAATCCTTGGGTGAATTCGATAGATAGATAGATATTTGGAAGGGGTAAAAAGACTCTTAATCTAAAGAGGGGTGAAGTTACTTGCAGAAGTTACTAAACTAGCTTTAGGTCTATTTACAGACCTTCCTATTCTCTGGATCTAGGTTAGGTTTACTTAAAGCTTTTTTCATTCTCTTTCAAAGTCCCATTCATTCATTGTCGAAGTCCAAGATCTATGCTTGGATGGTCTTTAATGCATTAATTGTCATAGCCTTTTAAATTGTAGTCCTACATAGGTTAAACTTTCTATACTCCAAGCATCATAGATATTCCTACTATATAGTAAACTATGTATTCAACATCAAGTTCAAGGTTGATTCATCAAAGCATAGAACAAGCCAATGAGGTGCAGCCCACAAAATGATCCTTGCCTGTGAGCTTAAGCATGCCCTGACATGCCTTTTAGATGTTACCTCAATTTATGCAATTTTTAGCCTTCACCTTATTCTTGACCATGTTTGTCCTCATTGGAGCAGTTATCATCCTTGAAACACAAGATGGAATCATAGCCACCTATGGATTTTTCCTCATAGCCACCTTATTCTAACTGTATAGGAAATATCCTCTTTAATCTCTCCTCCATCAATATGCTATTTCCCTTTCAATCAATATGCTTAAGTTGTGTTTTGAGAGTTTAGAAATGAAGCACCCTATTGGTGTATATGTACTGGGGATTTATGAAATTTTTGAATATGTTTGATTGCAGGTTCCAGGGTATGATTAAGGGTTATAGTGGAGTTTTTCGCTTAGGGGAGGCTACTTCAACTTGGGATGCTGATTCACCGGTCTGTTTTTTGCTTTGAACTAACAACTTCTACACCCTATTTTGAAGTATTATATGGTTTGATAATTTTGTAGTTGTTTTTCCAATACCATGAGAACTGATAATTCAGTTCACACTGTTCCAAGAAAATGTTATTAAACATTATCTTTACTTAGGTACTTGATCATTCCAGTGTACAAAACTGAATGCCTTCTTTGGCTTTCCAAGATCAACAACCTACTTATGAATAAAATGATCTTCATATTCACTTGGAAAGAATTTCTCTTCATGATAAGCTAGTTATATTGTAGACATTATCAAAATATAGTGTTGGGTAGTTTAGAAGTATGATGTTGGTTTTGGTAATGTTCATATTGTTTTCTTTTTACATTATATTTTATCCAAGGGAACAACATGTGCTCCACATGCAAGTATATTTATGTCATGGTAGATCAACTGCTACTCCTCCAATAAGGAAATAATTATGCATCAGTTGCATAACTGTGGCAACTTCAAATGGATCATTGGCCAAACCATAGCCCATAACAAATAGGAAGCTCTACGACCCAGCTCCAACATAATAGCTGTGATATAGTCGGCTCTTTTAGGTACTGGAAAATTTTCTAAATGTTTTGGTGCATTTACAGTTATTACCCCTGCGAACAAAATGACTAAATATTTCCGACCATTTACATAAGGTAGATGTTAATTAATTGTTCAATTTTTCGCAATTTTTTTCCACCCCACTGAGTAAATAATAGAATATGGGTTAACATGCTCCCAGGAGAAGCTTGAACAACCTTCATCAAAAAGGTCCCTATACCAAAACCAACATATGTGGGTAGGTAGAAGCCTTACTACTATTGCACAAATCCAGGGTTACAAGGATTTCTATTTACAATGGAGGATCACTTTCTCTTCTTGTACTACTTTTGCATTCTTTAAATGCATTTTCCATTACCTATAAAAGGACAGCAGACAGCAGTGGTTGTACCCCTATATTCAAGCTGAAATTGCTATAGGTTGAGTATTGATTGTTGGAATATAATGGACTTTTCCTTTCTCTCCAAGGCCTTTCATCTTGTTTGGTTGGATTTTTAGCCCAAGCTTCTGGTAGATTATCTACTAAATTATCTTTATCCAAATATTAAAACTAGTGAAGTTGATAGTGCACTTCTAGAAAAATGTCATTTGTTGTCCATTGTCGTACCCGGGATATGCTTCTTTGTGTGTAAAGCAGCTTCAATAAAGCACAACAATTGGGCACTTGGAATGTTCTTTATAAGAAGTTGATCGGATGGCACTCTATATGTTACCACATTTTTATTATGTCTGGGTGCAGAGGGATCAGCTAACTACCTCCTCCACTGCTCAGTGACCAGAAGACATTAGCACTTCTCTGGTTTATTTGGCTTGGTAGGGGTGATACCAAGACACATTGTGGAGATATTTAAACAATTGAAGAGTTGTGGACTCGGTTCCAAGGCTATATATTTAGGGAAGCTGTTGATCTTGCTATAAGCGGAATTCTGGGAGGAAAAATCAAACTTTGGAAGGAAGGAAAAGCATCTTTTGAAGCTTTGAGGGGACACCTTCTTCTTAGCAAGTGGATAATGGCATTAAAGGAATTTAGGGTATCAATTCTGATGACTTTTTTCTCCTGTGGCCCATCTCTCCCTTGTGTATGGGAAGGCAAACCTTCAGTTCAATGATAGTCCTATAGGAGACCAGAGATTGATATTTGATAGACATTTGAATCTTCACTAACAGGGGAGAACAGCACAGTTTGTGGCCTCAATGGTTCCATAGGTGGGTTCTACATCAGATGGAATATAGGGATTGGTAGAGGTCCATGGATACTTGCTCATTATCTAACTGAAATTAGACAAATAGACCACAATCACAATGGAAGTTAGATCCCTTGGCATTTGATTGGCTAGATCAAGTGTGGATAAGGTTTTCTTCCTGTATGTCTGACAAAAACTTTCTTGTTTAAGCTTTTGCAGGCTGAGAGTTGGGTCTCTATGCCTTTTTTATTATTCTTTTTGTGCATTTTTTTTATATATTCTCATGTACCTTCACGCAATTCATTTACATTTTAGCTTGTAATGTCTATTGAAAAGTGCTGTCTATTATGTAGGTCATTCAACGTGAGCCATGGGAACACATCAAAGACGAGGACATAAAAAAAGCTGCCACGTCGTTTTGTGGGGAAATTTGGCAAGTTCCTCCAATGTTCTCTGCCATCAAAGTAAGCACTCCTATTCTTTATATAATAAATACAGAAAAAGGAAGTTGAACAGAAATGCAGCTTGATATGTATTGATATTATCTATCTTAAAAATTACAAATATGCAGGGCACAAATATCATATCCAAGTTGGTTGTTGGTTTGTTTTTGGCATTTGACATTGTTGCATTAGTTTCCATTCATATTATAGTAAAAGTTGCCCCCTTTTGGTGCCTAGGGATTTATTCACTTGGCAACCCAGTACCATTCGGAATAGGAGGAGCTCTAAGAGAAAAAGGAAATTTACTAGCCCTTTGCTCAGGGCCAATAGGAGTGGGAGATTCATTAAGAGCTGAGGTATTGGCTCCTCCTCCATGGACTGAGATTAGCTAAGCAGTTAGGTCTCCATTGGATTGAAGTGGAAGGGGACTCCAAGTTGTTAATAGGTTGGATGCAGGAAGTTTGGGGATTTGGAATTACAGACAAAATATGAGAGAAATTTGGTGGCTGATAAGGGATCTTGATGTAAAAGTTGGGTTAGAAGGTCAGCAAATGCTTGCTGATGGCTTTAGCTAAACAAGGCTCAACCAGGGCGGATTTCTTTTGGGCAGTTTTGTAATAGGGGATTGATGTGGGCAGTTTTGTAATAGGGGATTGATGTGGGATCAGCACTACTGTTGGGGTAGCTGGTTGTATTTCTTCTATTTTATTAATGAAAGTTACCGTTTCTAAGAGAAAAAAAGGGATTTTATTTATTTAGTAGGGGTGATTAGAGTAACAGATAGCCTCCAAATTATTTAAAAGGGACCATCACATGTTTCCAGAATCTTCACCCACATTCTTGTTTTCAAAGATAGTAAAGGGGACTATCATCATCTATTTAGGGCCTATAACAATGGAGACCCTATAAGAGCTGAAATGGTGTGACTATTGTAGGGGCAAAGGCAGTAGCCTCACTACTCTTGTCAGAGGACTTTCAAGTGGTGAGTAGACCTTTTTATCCCAGGGGGAGGGGGGGGGCTTTGCTCAAGATGAATATAAAGGTCAGTAAACTTGGCTATGGATTCTCTAACTGGTGAAAGGATGAACAGGGAAAAGTTGCATTGGGAGCCAGCCAACCAACCATACATGGATATATGTATTTCCTGCATGTAAGGTTTTCTTATCAGAGTTTAGGGAATTCAGACAATTCCAAACAGTTAGGATTTTGTAAGAGTATCTGGACAGTAAGTTGTTAACATAATATTATCATACACGCTTTCTTTTTTAAGTTATATTTTTTAAAATGTCATGAAAATTAAGGTATTCATAACTAACTAGGTTTCTATGTGGCATTGATCCCAAGGAAGAACTTGAATAACAAGAATAGTGATGGGGCTATTCAGCACTCCCTGCAGATAGACCAATAACATCATGGAACATAGGAGATAACCTACACACCCATTCCATTTTGTCTAGGGATGCCAATGGGTCGGGTTTGGTATGGCCGTATGGGTTTGCCTCAACCCTAGCCCGACTTGACCCAACTCAGCAACATGTAATTTCTGAACACAACCTGATCCTCTAGGACCCAACCCACACCCTTTCAATTATATTTGTATAACATATTTTAAAAACCTAAAAGCCATTTATTTAAGTTGGACTTTGGTTTATAGGTACTAAGGTGCCATTTTCTCCATTAGTGGAAGAATAAACAAAATAAACATGAAAAGAAATCCTAAATCTTAATGCTATGGAATTAGAAGTTAGCAAATTACAAGAATACCCTATATCTCTAGGGGTATCATGACCTGGCGGGGTGGCCGACCAAAACCCGAACTCAACTTGGGTTAAAGGATCAATACCTAACCCGACCCTACACCTGGATAGACCTGACCCTAAACCAACCCTATAGAGTTGGGTCAAGCTGGGTTTACCATTTAGCCTGACCCATTGACATCCCTAATTTTGCATGTTGGTCCTTTTAAATAAGTGAAAGAAAAGGAAACAAACCCAATAAAAATAAATAGAGGAACTAGAAAAGGAAAATGAAAGGAAAAATCCTACCCAGTTATTTTCTTGGTGCATCCTTGTCTTTTCTTCTTGGAAGAAATCAAGGAAGGATCATCTTACTATTATCTTCTTCTCTCTATTCACAAATATTTCTACAAGGTCTGAAGGTTGATCCATGGCTCAACTGGTGATGCCAGAGTAATTGGAGCCACAGCTAAAGCTCAACTGAATCCTCACCATGGTCAATCTATGGCTCCCCCATGGATCTGATGGAGAGGCAGTACAGAGAATAGGAAATGGGTGAGAGGATCAAGGAATAGCCAGAAGGGATTGGATGAAGATGGCAGGGTGACCAAGCAGAGTTAGAGGGAAGTGGCTGGAATGGAGGGATAGCCTGAAGATGGAATGCTCCAGGTGATACAAGGGGATAAGGCACTCTACTTAGTATCCAATGGGGAGGGAAATGATGTGAAAGGAATATTTGCAGTGGTGCTTGATCAGGGAGTGGAGAAGTGTTTAAAGGATCACCTGATTGTCTGTACTTAACAGAGTAATAATGTTGGGTCTCAAGGTCTTCGTGGAGATACCTAATTGAGTATCTGTGACCATTAGGGTGGAAATTGGTGAGGACGGAACAGAGATAACAAGAAATAATGCAAGAGGGAAGGGGAAGGAGATCTCCTGTATTCTTTTATTAAGAAAACGAAAATATATCATACCCTTTTTTACTCATTTTAGTAATTGCAACTGGTAGGGTTAATTGTATACTTTTCTTGCCTTTTGCTTTCTATGGATCTTGCTCCAGTTGCACCAAAAATGGAATGACAACATAAATACAAATACCCAACCAAATGGTCTAAGTTTCAAGAGGACCAAGTACTGTTTCAACCTTTCATTGATATCCACGTGAGGGTAATGTCTAGAAACTTAATACGTATGCACAAGGCCAGAAGCTACTAAGAAGGAAGTTGGCATAATCTTGTATGAGTTCTGGAAACTGCTATTTTTTGTTACCAATTGCAACACATAACTCATCATGGGTCCTTAAATTGCATTGCATTTCTATTGAAGATTAAATTTATTTATTTATTGCTAGCATTTATTTTGGAGATTATTAGTCTTAATGATTTTCTTCACTTATTGATAGGTAGGAGGTGAAAAGATGTATGAGAAAGCAAGGAGAGGTGAAAGCATCGAGCTTTCACCAAGACGTATTTCAATTTTTCAGTTCGATATTGAGCGTAGCTTAGATGACAGGTCTGCTGAGGATTCAGTTGGATTCTATTAGATATATATTTTCTTGAAAGCAGTTAAATGTTCAGGATATCATCAAATTCTTGACAGATACATAAAGCAGTAGCTAGGTGGAATTTTTACTACAGAGTAGTGTTTGGATTTGCTTCTACATACGGTTTTTTTTGGCTGTTAAACACACAGTTGTTTAGTATAAGATCAGGAAGATACTCATTCTATCATCCTCCAATAATTCTGTCAAAGTTGTCATTAGTTTCTACAGGATTGAATTTATGAATGTTGTTCCACAAGTTGTTCTACTTGCTAGAACTCCTTGACATTCTATGTAATTTTCAGACAACTGAAAGCATATGTATGTGCCAGAACAGGGGAATTGAAGTTAAGTGCCCATCTCTAAAAGATCCATTGCTCTATAAAAACACTGTGAAGACCAGTTTAACCATTGACCTGCCATGAAACATGTCTTGCTTGAGTTATTCAAGAAAGGCTGATTCTGTATGCCTTACAAGTTTGCTTCTTCTAATCCACTTGATTGTATTTTCTGTATTTGCAGACAAAATCTAATTTTTCGAGTTACATGCTCAAAAGGGACATATATCCGATCTCTCTGTGCAGATTTTGGGAAAGCTCTGGGCAGGTACTGACCTGTTCAAATTCTCAGCTTCTATTTCTATCATTGCCCTGATTACATTTCCCTTGCTAAAATTTCATTTTTCTTAGAATGTAAGGTACATAATTATCATTAAGATGTCTTTACTAAAATAGTGCAGAATGATGTTTCTGAAACCCTGTCATATTTTGTGAAGATGCCAAAAATGATCAAGCTTTGTAAAAATTTCTTGTTTTATTTTAGGTTTTAAATCTCTTGCCCACCTGTGAACTGCCTGCCTTAACAAAGAAAGAGAACAAAAACTAGGGACCTAGGTTTAATACTATAAACTATTTCATCTAATCTGTATTGTTTCTAACTCCTATATAATGTTTGCAGTTGTGCTCATCTAACAGCTCTACGAAGAGATTCGATAGGTAAGGGTTCTTCATTCTACATGAACTTTGAAGTTTTTTTTTTTCAATTAAATGTTTGATTTAGAGACACCTTGAAGATTTGTAGGTGGTAATGTTTGTTTCTTTTGGATGGTATCTATGATGTTGTATATTTTCCAAAACATTTTTTAATGCTTACGACTGAAGTTATGAATCCAACTCAAGACATTTGAAGGCCCTCCTCTTCTATAAGGATAATAATATTATTAACCAAGAAGGTGGAGATGGGATTTTTGTTTTCCTGATCAGTATGGAGATGAGTGTTTTAACCTAGAAAGTTCATTTATTCAGTTAAATATTGAATGAGCTTGCTACAGCATATTCTGTGTTGGAAGGCCCTCCTTTTCCATAAGTATTTCTTTACTCTTTCCAATTATAGTAATTGGGGTTATGTGAGACCGGTAATAAGAGTGCTCAATCTATTTGATGTACAGAACTTATCAAAAAAAAAAATCAATTTGATGCGCAAAATCACATTTGTTTGATTCATTTTGTGCATTCAATAAAACTGTGGGCCATTAGTACAATAGGATATGAAGGAACATTCTGTAGGCTAGATATCAAAGATTAGGTCTATATCCAGTCCACCCTTCCCATGACCCAGGATAGGCAGGACCAACATCAGGTAATGCCCCTTTGGATAATACTGTTTTGATGTTAAGCTGTATATAGGGAGGGAACTTAGCGCTCTTTATGCCAAGGTAAATGATGGTGACTGAGGTGGGCAATGAACAAGCATGAGTAAAGGGATCATTGGTCAAGTTAGAAATCTGATGAGAAATAGATTGATAGTCTATTAATTCAGGAATAAAAAATTCAAGGGATCAATATAGGATTGAAGGATGAAATGTAGGGATATAAGGTTTGGTTTAAATGTTTTATGATGGTCTGTTGGTATCTATATGGGATCCAACATTGTGTTGTAAAATGGGTGAGATTAAGGGAGATTCTGAATTTTGGTTTGCCTTAAGCCTTAAATATGGAGCTTGGATTTGGTTGTTGATTAATGTTTGGGGCCCAGAAGTGACATAGGCTTTCTGGAGAAGTTAATGGAAGGTTGTGCTTTAGGTTTGGTGATGCTATGATTGAATGGAGTAGGTGGGGAGTTGGGGAGTCTCAAATGCAATGAAAAGATTTGTAGAATTCATATCCAAAAATTTTCTTATTGATCCACCTTTCAATGATAACATATTCACATGATCTTATGGTCAATCACCGCCTATTCCAGGCAAATTGATAGGTTTTATTTGCCAATTGTCAAGAAAAGAGAACTTTATGTATTAAAAAATCGGCCCATTTGGCGTGTCTTTCCACGCGATCTTTCGGCTGTTTAAAAGCCGGGCAGACCGATTTTCAGTCTATTCCCATTTGGTTTGCAGAAGCCAAAGCGCCGAAAAGACGCGAGAAGCCCATTTTGGGCTGATTTCGGGAAGCTCCAAATGAAGCTTTTCACGTCTTTCGCGTTTTATTCTCGTGCGGAAAGACATGGAAAGAGGCACGGAAAGACGTGATACTTCCCAACCAGCTTCAGGCTGCTCAGATCTTTATGCTAAAGCTCAATGCGTCTTTTGATTGTCAGAGCTACCAGAAGATCTTCCCAAAAAGATGCACCAAACAGGTCCCATTATCCATCCATAAACCAATCATTCTTGGAGAGTTTATTTGGTGCAGCATCATTTTCCCTTCAATATTTCAGAATATGTGGTTGGAAGTTGAAACATCTGGATGATTTCATTTATATGGACTAATGGAGAGGCAGATTTTTGATAATTAAAAGGAGTTGAATTCACTCTGAAGACTTTGGTAGATATGATTTTTATGATTTGTTGGCCAATATGCAATTAATTCATGTATATGACTGTTTTTCTGTTGGCTTTTGTCTTTCTTGATTTCTTCTGAGTGTTCTTTTGTAATTCTCTTTTCTTTGAAAAAAATTATTGTTTATTTATTAGAATAAATTACTTAAACCTCCCTTGTAGTTTCTGACAACTGCTTTAACCTCCCATGTAGTCTGACCTCTCCAAAAAACTCCCTTCATATTTGGGGAAAATGATACAAAGAGAACCTTCCATTAATTTGACATTAGGATAAATTACTATGATGTTTTTTCCTGTTTTTGGTCTGTTGGATACAAATAGAAAGGAGGATTGTGCATTTGCAGAGAGAGAGAGAGAGAGAGAGAGAGAGAGAGAGAGATTTGTTCACTCGCTGGAATTCTCCTGAGCAGTATTATTGGTTGTTTTTATTTTATTTGTTCATTGATCGGAATTTCCTATCCATTGAATTGGATGGGGAAAACTGTCCTTTGAGAAACTAGGAGCTAAGTCCCTAATTCTACATTTTGTTTAAGGTAATTAAACAAGTTATTCCGCAGCTTGAACCCTTTTCAATGTTAGGAAACCTAGCCCAGCCTAGACAGTTGGATAATCCGATGGTCAAGCACATTTTTTTTTTTTGTAAGAATTCTTTATCAAAGTCGAAAGTTCTCCACAATTTCCTTTTATTTTTTCAAGTCTAAATGACTCAATATCTTTGAATTCTTTTACCATCAAATCAAATGCCCAATCCATAATAAAGAAGCTAATGTCCTTGCAAATTTTATAAAGCTCTCCCAAAAGCTGCCTTGTAAATTTTTTTCCATTGAACTCCATCCATAAAGTCCAATATATGACAAAAGGAACCATAAATATCCACCTTCTGGTCCCAAATCATTTTTTCCTTACTACACAAAATTAAATGATTGGCCTCCTCCACTTCTTCATACAATGCATTTGCTTGCTAGGCATAAGCATCTATCTTTGAGTTGTTGAATTTAAATGTTTGATGAATACTGCCAGCATGTTGAGCCTCTACCCTTGGGGCAATGGATTCCCTTGTACTTTGCAACCAAAGTATATTCTGTGACTCCATCATTGATTTATTCTAATATGATTTTTTCTGAAATCACGTCTTTTTGGGTTATAGACAAGACTCCGCGGCTCTTGAAAGAATCATGCATTCATATCTCCCTTGGTGAAAAAGGTCTTTTCGTTATTTGATTTCAAGCTACATGACTTTCTCTGTCATCTTAGTTTAGTAATTATGAAATTCCCTGGTGTTCATAATCTATTAAAATATGGGCACACATTGCATAAACGTCCAACCCCACATCAAGAATCTTCTCAAAATCTTGTAGGGTCCTGAACTGTTGATTTGATAACCTGATGTAAAGTCACTGTGGTCTTTCATATTGTCTAGTGGCTTGTTTTCTTGACACCACAGTTTAAACAAAATTGGTGGAAAATTTCCTTGCCAGCTTTGGTGTTGACATATAAAAAGCAGTCCAGATGCATGGGGGTATCATATAAAGCTCCAGTACTGTTCAGTTGTTTCTGGACTGTTTGGGCAAGCCAATTCTACCATCAGCCTGAGTGTTCAAGTCTTAGGAATACAAACACTAGTAGCTAAACATTGCCATGAACATTTTTGTTTCTTCTGAACTTCCCTAAATTGCCTCCATTTATGAGTATTCTGTGCATAACCAAGGGCTCCAAAGGTACTACCTGAATTATCATAAATAAAAATGCATATATTGGGATTTCCCAATACATGAAAGTTGGGATTGAATCGAGGGACATTTGACTAAATACTGAAAGCTGAATTTAAATTGTCGATGAAATTGCATAAGCTGGATTGTGGTCATTTGTCAAAAGGTCTGGACCTAAACTAGCCAGAACAAAGATTTCTCCTTGGATGTTGCAATGAATTTATTTACACAACCTTAAGTTTGCTTGTTTCACATATGGTTGTGGTTTTGTATGTCTTGTAACCTCTGATCTACTTAATTTTGCTATAATGATCGGGATCTAAAAATCTTACAATACTGGTAAGGGTAGTGAAACATGTGCATTTCAGTTTCCTAATTTTTATGCTTTTCCTTCCCCAACCCAAGGGCAATATTTGGCAGATGATGCGTGGGATTTCCAAGAACTAGAAGACACAATCACAAAAGGTTACATGTAACTTCCGATTACACAATGTCTTTTCCAACCCCCAGAGAAAGAAAGAAAGAAAGAAAGAAAGAAAGAAAGAAAGAAAGAAAGGAAGGAAGAAAAGGAATTGGAATCAAGTGATTGGAAGCATGAAAAGCAAGTTTTGTGCATAAGATGATGATTATGATGATGTGGGAGCCTGGTGTTAATATAACAGACTAACAGTACGTCATTTCCATGCTCATTGGCAAGGCGTGTTCAAATTTTCTTCCTTTTCTCTATTTATGGTTTTTTAGGTAAAAATTTGAACATGGTATGTATTTTGTGATATTTTTGTTATCAATATTTGCTTTCAAATCACCAAAAGGAACTCTTGCATTAAGGGAATGCAAAGCCAGTCGACACTAGCGGCGGGGATAAAGCCCATAAAATAATCTTTTTCTTTCTATTTCTTTCTTTTGCTTCATTAGTTCTCTTGCTTCTCTCTAAACTGGCCACGACGTAAAATTTGCTGCAAGGGGTTTCTGAAAGACAGCAAAGTTGATTGCGTAGTGCAATTTTTTGGGGCTTGAGACAATGTACTCCAAGTTGTCTGAGGTCCCGGAATGATTAAGTCCCACTCCGAAAGCAGGGGGCACGTGAGGCTCTTCACACCTGGCGCCTCACACGCACCTATTAATTATTATTCACGGGAGATGTTCCCATGTGTTGTGAGGCGCCAGGTGTGAGGAGCAGATCCGATCTCTATTGCTAACCCACTATCTGAACTACTGAGTTATTGTCGAAATCAACATCATTATATAAATTTAACAATTTTACGTCTTATTTTCAGTGCTTTAACTAGTTTTACAAATTCCGAGTTGACCTCTCTTCTTGATTCTCGATAATGCTATATGCTGGGCCGGGTTTTAGCTCAACCCAGGATAACTCCTATCTAGGCTTAAGGCCCAAACATGGGCTAAGCGTGAGATCAAGCCCTACCTACACCCAAGCCCAACCCAAGGAAACTTTTTTTTTTTTTTTTTTTTTGTTTTGGCCATACAACCCACGGAAACTTCACATACTCAGATATGTGGCAGGGCTCAAGTTGGCCATTTTGAGCTTATGTGGGCCTGCTGCATAAACCTCTTTAATGTCAACCAATTTAAACCTTTGCGGGCTGGGTCAGTCCAGGCTCAGGCTTGGCCCATCCAATTTGCACTCCTATCAATCAGAACCGCAATTATCAACTATTTCTTTCAAGCTCACAATCAAAGGTTCATAAGTAGGGGTGTCAATGGACTGGTTTTGGATTGGACACAGTCCAAATCAAAATCAATTTGGATGGACCAATAAGACATTGAATTGAGCCAGTCCAGACTTAATGGTCCAAAGTATTTCTCGCATTGGATTGGACCCATCTTTAACGGTTTTATATTGGATTGGGTCACGTTGGACCATTATCCAGTCCATTGATAGAAGAATACAGGTGTCAATGACAAGGTTTGAATTGAAACCAATCTAAATTGGAATGGGCCAAAATGGTCCAAAATATTCATTGGATTGGATCTGGTCCATTTATAATTGACTCATATTGGAGCGGATCAGATTGGACAAAATCAAGTTTAATTGGCACCCCTATTCGTAAGTACTGACCTTCCAATGTCCAGAATAGTATAAATGTCCAATTCACTCTTTTTTTATGCTTTTTTGATGAACGAAAGAGTAAATGCAATTCAGTTTCTAGTGAGCACCAATCGAAACCGGACATTTCACCAGCTGGATGGATGAATTATGATTAGGCAAGGGGAGATAATGCATGTGTTTGGTTCCGTTTACGTTTATTGAATAAACGTTTGTACTTTGTTTGTTGGTAAAACCAAGAAAGATAATAATTATTATCATTTATGACAACTAGGCACCACTAAGTGCCACTAGGCTCCACATCAGCGTAACAGTGAAAAAACGCCTGACCATTTATGGAAGCTTTAAAAAATGACTTCCACGAACGGTTGGCGTGCACAAAAAGTGAAGTCCACTTTTGTCATTCTCAATGTGTATGGAAGAGCAAGAGAGAGAAACTGCTAAAGTGGTGCCCATGTGGCAACGTTTATTGAATAAATGCCCACGGAACCAAACACCCTGAAAGAGAGGCTATTTCCTATCTTCACTTGCCATGCTTATCATCTGCCTTCTGCCTTAAGTTTTTTTTGGGTAAATTTCTGAAACCTCCACTAAAGTTTCCAGTTGTTGCTAAAACCTCCCATGAAATTTATCAATTGCAATCACCTCCCTTAAACTTTCTGACATAATTGCAAGTAGACATCCTTTATTAGAATCCTCTAAAATGAGGCATGAAAATGTCCAAAATACACATACAACTACTTTTGAACAAAATGTTTATTTTCCAAATTTTGTCTTCATATGAATTGCCAGCCCAAACCCTTGCAATTTCATTTATGAAATTGAATTATTTTTCAAAATTTCACTTCACATCAACCGCTCAAAGGTAAAGTTGCAAGTTTAAATTCTCTATTTTTTGTTGTTTATTAGGTATGTATTGTTTTCCTGTAGAGACCAGCTTCGATAGTAATTGCATGGGTATTTTAAACATTTTTATACCTATTATTAGAGGATTCTAACAGAGTCTAGTTTCAACTGTATCAGAAAGTTACGGGAGGTTTCAGCAACTTATCTTTTTATTTTTTGACACAAGGGGTAACCCCCCAACCCTGGTAGCATTGAGATTTGATCCCAATTCCCAAGTCTCTATTCCAACGAGTAAGAGATCCAACCAACTGAGCCACCATCAGTTGGCTGATTCGCCTTAAATGTATTCTTCTTAGCAGCTCAACTCGACTTTGTCCTGATTGTGAAATTTAAAAAGAATAAGTGATTATTGATTATTGATAGAATCCACTATCTACAAATATGGTAGAGGTTCTTTTATCTTCTTGACTCTATGTAGTAAGCTCCTAAGCAAAATGGATCCATAATGGTATTTGTAGCTGTACATGATCAGCTCATGGTTTCCTGTCGCTGTCATTCAGCTTCTCTTCCTATTATCCATCTTACCCCACTACCAAGTGGTAGAATTGGGTGGATCAGTTCCAATTTCTTTGTAATACGCCTTCTCCGCATTTGCCACTCGGCCTTGAAACATCGTCCACTCTTTTCTACATCTTTCTCTCACCTGAGACCAGAGGAGAGGTTGAACAACGTAAGAACATGAGATGGCCAATACATTAATCCAAAATTGAAATAAATGAAAGAGGGGCAGAGGGCAGCTCTGCAGCTCTGCCACAAAAATTAAAGTAGAAATGTACTGCATACCCCTTGCCATGGTGCCTTCCCATTCTGTGTTTCCCCCTGTTAAAAACAAAAAAGCAGTTCAGCTTCTGTTTTTCTTTTGGCTTAAAAAAAAAAATCAAAAATGCATGTTGACCATTTGTTTTACTTTACCTGGTTCCCAAGTGAGGGAACAGTCTGATGAACAATCCACTGAGCATCTACAACGCCTATTTTCTCATGAGCAGGCTGTTTTCAGGAAAATTAAAAAAAAAAAAAAAGAAGCTTGACCTTAGAAACAAGTGATAACATAATTAGCGAGGAAAAACCATGCCTCGTAAAAAACTTAATAATGAAAGATCACCCTGACCTCTACACATCTCCTCAAAGCAAAGTCGAGCCCCCATCCATGTACCAAGTCATTCTATAGTCAAACATAACAAGAGTAATTTGACGACTTCAGAGTGGAGAGATAATTGGATTAATAAGAGTTGAATGAACAAAAATAGGAAATCACCCTTTACCTGAATCATATGCCACACACATCGCCAAGCATCACGAGAAAACACAGGTGCCATAATTTCAACAAATCTGCATGTAGTAGAATGTATTAGATATATGTACAGCGGAGAAGTATGATATGATAATATAGGTTAACAGCAGGGCATATGTTGCTGGATGAGCCGATGACAATCCAGGATTCATCTATGACAACCCAGGCTGAATGTGTTTTCCACTAAACTCTATACAACCGTACAGTCCTTGCAACATGGAAAAATGAACTCCTTGTGGATATTTTCAATTAAAATTTTGAAATAATAGAGTTGCTTCAATATAGCATCACTTGCTTAATTGTTCAATATGGTGGGGCATGGAGCTGAGATGGACTTTGGAAGGGAACACAAGATCAATCTATGGTTTTCTTGGATAATCTGGATTGGCCACATCTCCTAGAGTTCAATGAATCTTCTATAATTTGGCTTTGGCCAATGTAGTCCTACCTTTGTATTAAGGGTCAGGTTAGATGCCATCTGCCTCCCCAACCATTAGATGTATTTATTTTCCCACTTATGACAAAGTGTTTAGAACTATAATCTGGGTGCAGTTAGAGAAATAGTTATAAGGCCAGCAATGTTGAATGGAGCAAAGTGTTGGGCAATTAAGAAACATGTCAAAAAGCCAAGTGTAATGGAAATGCAAATGATGAGAAGGATGAGTGGGAAAGCTAGAAATGATAGGATTAAAAATGAACTTACCCAAATAAACCTAGGAGAAACTCCAATGGGTGATAAAAAGAGGGAAAGCAGACTAAAATGTTTTGGGCACATGCAGAGAAAACCATCTACAGCATCACTAAGAAGTAATCTATCACAAGTAGAAGGGGCTAGAAGAGCTAGGGGCAGGCCAAAAAGGACAAAGGTTGAAGCAGTGAGAAATGATTTAATGGCTCACAATTTAACAATGGATACTGGATGGAATGGAGGAACAGGATTCATGTAGTCAACCCCATAGGGGGCATGGTTTAGATGATGATGGGTTAGAGAAATTTTCTATTGAGGCAAACTGATGGGACAATCTCCTCTAGAGATCAGAGGGTTTGCTGAGGCCCTTCCTCTCATCCTTGCCTTTCTTTATTTGAAGGGGAACAAAAAAAAAGAAAAAAAAGGAAAGAAACAGATAAACACCAAAGTCACACATTTAAAAAACCTATTATTGCAAGAAAATAAAAACAATATAGTGTCCATACGCTGCACATGGTGGCAAATGGGGGTCCGGACACCAGCCTGGTTTCTCTTCCGTTTGTCTGGTAAAAGAAGGGGGGGAAAGTCAATTCTACAACAAAGAATTTATATTGACAAACAAAAACAAGGAATGAAGAGAAGTGGGTTGCAAGGAGGGTTTATTCTTACTTGTGAACTTCTTGGTCACCCCTTCTCTTTGTCATCTGCCATGTTAACCGATTGTTTGGCTCTAAACCGGGCTGTGAAATCTCCAAACCATGCTTCCTCACCAGTTTTATATATCTAAACATAGAGGAAAATACACTCTTAAGTTTCTAGATTGCATGGACTCCATTCTCATTAAAAGAAATTAGACTTACTCTTCAGCATCAAAATGTTCAACTCCTAGATCTTCATCCCAGATAAATATGTAGTCATATGGAGCCACAATATCAGGGTGTAGAAACCGTTTGGCATACCACCTTCAACCAAATTTCAGAGTATTTAGATAGTTTACAACATAAAGAAGAATGACATAGACTGGCTACAAGTATATTACTGATTTACCACCAGGAACATAGAAATAGAGAACCAGTTGAAGCAGTCTCACCATTTAGTTTGCTTCCGAGCACTAACATGGATAGCCCTCTTTGACCACTCAAATTCATCCCATTCACTAGTCCGGCCATCATAGTGGAACAGCAGTATTGTAAAGTTTTCTGAAAACTGTGGTAGAAAAAAGTTAAGTGACCACACACACACACACAGGGAGAGAGAGAACGAGAGAGAGAGAGGACCAAACCTTTTTAACTGCTGCATCAATATTATTCTTTTGTTCATAACCAACAGTGAAAGTTACAAGATACTTTTGCCTGATGGTTAGGTCCTGTAAGTGTCAAAAAACTGATGAAACACCAATTGAAACCAACCATGATACAAAGGCTTATACATCAAACAGAACCAAAAGTTTTTTTACCAGTGGCTCTCTTATCAGTTTAACTAGATTCGTGTAGATGCATAAATGAGAAGTTTCAAAACATCACTTTACCTTTTGAATTGTTGGATTACTTAAAAACATTTAGATATTATAAATAGATCTTTTTATTTGGCTAAATTGTATAGACCTAGTATTATACCTTGCCTCATCCCTAAATATGTTTGATGGAAGGGGCAGAATATATATAATTGTATAATTGAATATTAGGATCTTTAATTTCACTATTCCTACACAAACATGTTTGTTCTTAGTCATTCTGCATTTAGTATTTTTTTTCTGCTAGCATGCAACCTGCAAAGTTATATTTTTGCCTTGCAACAACAAGGAAACTAAAACACCAAAAACACAAATGATACGCGGGGATAGGATCCCATATTTGTATCCATGCAGATAAGTGCAAAAGGTGTGATAAACACAAACAGATACTAGAGATGGAAAGAAACACAGCAGATAACATATGAGATTCAAATGAAGATATGTATGCTCAGATGAAGATCACATTAGAAAACACAAACCTCACTAGGCTTTCCCCACAACCTTCGGAGATAGAGATCTGACTCAGAAGCAACAATTCCTGGGGGCAGTCTTTCTGCACCTCGGGGATTTGTTGGAACCCATATCTGCATCCGAATGACAAGGAGTGGAGTTAATGTTAGCACAGTAAAGCTCATTTAAGTATTTAAATACAAACTTAAACATGAAGTATTTAGAAGTTTCTGAGCCAATTATTGCATATATCCAATAAATAGAGTTGGAAAAAGGAAGAAACCACTTTGGAGTATCAAAGCTAGCTTCCTTATAACAGAACTTAAAATAAAACAAATAAAATGGGGAAGAAAGAATGGAACCAAAAAAAAAAAAGATAGTGTGAGCACACACTCATAGTCTTTTCTTTCTGCTATTTAGATACTAACAGTTGGCAAAATCTTAATGTTGTTCCAAACATGTGTTAATTTCCATCATTAGTCCCATATTAGTTTTACAATATTAGATAAGAAGCTTAAAATTCCAATCATTAATCATTAGCAATTTAAACTTGAAGTAATAATTGCTAAATCTAAATTAATAAACTCTTTGTCTGATAATAGATTGTTAAATCCAAGAGGTTTTCCTACTTGAAATTTCGCAACTTGAAGGTAAAAAGACGAGCTGAGGATGGATTTATCATGTATATGGAAAACGGTTTAGCTGATTCCAAAGTTGTCACTTTGAAGCAAGCTTAGTACAAACAGTTGAAGCATTCATTGCCGCATTTTTAAGCAATATTATCAGACTTGGCCATGGTTTAACCTGAATGCTTTACCATGCATGTTATGGTTTAACCAATTAATCCATTCAAACCGTGAAAACCATCATTTAACCAGGATTTGAAAAGTTACTACCAGTTCAACCACCCAGCCTGGTTGGTGGTCCAAGTGTTACAGCACTGGTTTCGAGACCAAAAATAGTGAATCTCAAAGCAGTATTGTTTTATTTCATCACTCAAATTATATATATTAAACTAAGATTAACAAAATAGAGTATACCTTGGAAGTCTCATTTAAATTTTGACCTTGAGACGAGCTGCTTCTATTAAACTTTGGTGAAGGCCAGGAACGGGGCAGAAATGTTTCAGATGGACGACCTGAGTTTTTGTCTTCAATGTAACTAAGATCAATGGAAGGGAGTAGGCTGGATGGGAAGTTCAGCTGCCAAATTCACAAATTGGAAAATCATTATCCCGTTATTGATTAAGACCAGCATAAGATGAATAAAGAGATATTATAAGAAAAACAAAAAACATTGTCCCCTAATAAGTAATAACAGCATATGATGAATAAGAAACTACCCCCCCCCCCACCCACACACAGAGGTTGTAAAACTTAGTTAACAAAGTAAAGTTTGTATACCTTAGTTAATGATATTGTTGGAAAGGATACTCCTACCAAGAATCCAAACACAACTCCAACAAATGTTGTGATAATAAGCCTCATGCTCTCATTTGGTTTTCTTATAATTCCACTGCAACCAACAATAGGTCAACATTAAGAAAATAAAATCGCCTCCATTGCCAATAAAATTATGACTTCAAAATATCCCAAACATGAACTATTTTCACAAAGAAAGCACAAGGAAATTCTTACCTGCGTCCAAGAGTCCCCATTTTACTCATGATCTTCTGATTCTATAGCCACAACAAAAATAAAGCAACAGTCCAGCAACTGTGAGCTGCTCCACATCGCTCAATGAGTTTGCAGTTGCCAATGATTCAAAAAAGCACAGTCCCTCGTGAAAATCAATGCAATTGAAAAGGAAGACAGTACCTGAAATAGTCACGTAGAAAGATGTGAATTAAAGAAAGGTATTTTCAATCAAAAGTTATGAGTGTTTTTCAGAACAGTAATAAGTACCATAATAAGAAACTTAGCTCCTTCTGATAGTAATAATACTAGGATTGGTCAAACAGAGAAATCCAAATACTGAATAATAATGGATGTAGAGACATTATTCTAAAATTTGAGAAATCTGAATACTGAATAAAATTATTCTAAAATTTAAGAGACTCAACTAAAGAACTAGCACAGATTCAAGAAGCAACTTTCCGTCTCAGGATATGGATAATGGATGAAGAGACATTATTAAGAACCACTAATGAAAACCATCTGAAGGTACGGGTAATAGTAACAACCAAGTATCTTCTTCCCTTTAGAGTAGTGTTATCAGAACTAATGTATTCATGAACAGAACCGTTCCTCTATTGCCCCCCAGAGAAATAACATCTCAAAGTGCTCCCCCCCCCCCTGTTCAATGAATATTTCTGACGTACCCATGGAAGAAAATCAAGGCTTACCAATCCAAAGGTTAAATATCTCAATATGGTCGCCAAAACATTCAAACCCTTTAAATGGGGAGAAAAACGAATCAAATGAAACCTTTCTTAAAATTCCATACTTTAATTCTACAGGCAAACACCCATCTTTACTGAATCAACAAGGAACCATGTGCTCACTCCCATCGATAACATCTAAAAGACTAAAGCAAGGTACCACCACCCTTCATTGAATCCCTCAATTAGTAAATGCTTGAAGAAGCAACCATGTGCACTTTTTGACCAATAAGTACGTTCAATTGATTTTAATACGTAGAATCCGGTTCCCAAAAAACCAATCGAAACGAATAGCTGGACGTACTACGTCCTTGTAACAGAAGATACAGAATACACGGAAAGATTCATCCTGCAATTAGAAGGCAAACGCCACCGCCCTTGATTATTAGCTAATTTCGCTATTTTAAGAATTATATCTGAATTAAATAATAAAAATCAAGATATAAAGTTCTTGCGTATAAAAGCAGAAACTCATGAAAAATCCTAGAGCTAAAGAAATGAAAGAAGCAAGCACAGTGGCCTGAAGCATCATAATTCATAACAGAGCTACGAATTGAGCTTCTAGTCGAGAGCTAATTGTAAACAGGTAGTTTAAGTTGTACAAAAGAAAGCAAAGTAATTAGTAAGGTTCCAGTAGCAGTAGGGAGATCTACTTGGACAAGAATGCACAAGAGCTCTAGTGACCATTACAATTCACAGTTATTAAAAAGAACAAAAATAACGCACCTGGAATCGAGAAGGAAGAAATGTCCACCGGCGACAAACCCTAATGAAACAAGAAGAGAGATCACTAAAGAGGGAGCCGAAGAGAGAGAGAGAGAGAGGGACAGAGATATAAGCCTGGAAAATCACGATAAGAAAAACCGCTCGAGGAGTCAGAGCAAAATAAACGTGGTCCGGCAGCTCCAATCTGCTCAACTTCGTGATTGTTGCTTTTAAGCAATGAGTAACCTCCGAGAAAACGAAGAAAGAACCAAAACGAAAGTACAAAAAAAAAAGCTGCTTTAAGAAAAAAAGAAAAAGCAGAATGAACGAACAGCAGAATTTACGAACGTAGAGGTATGATTTTATCCGTGAACTAATGAGAAGAAGGTGGGAGTTTGAGAAGAAGTCATACCAAAACTCAAGAGAGAGAAAGAGAGTCAAAATTTCAATCTTGTTTAATTATTTATTTAATAGATATAATGAATGCCGGGAACCGTTTGGGTTGAGATTTCCGTTTCGTAAATTCCGTCCCGCGTTGGTTAATGGTTATGGACTTAGGTTGGCCCCTTTAGGCCTTTAAAAAGCAGTTAGGAATTTTTGGGTTTTAGTAACAGAAAAAAATAAATAAATAAATAAGCAGTGAGGAGGAATTCGGGTCCACTATAAAATTAAAATTTAAAAGCGCTTTTTGTAGAGAATCCGAATGCATAAAAAGAGAGAGAAGATGGAAAAAGAGGAAAGCGCACCAATGCATTACGACTTACGAGCGCACAGTGCGCATCACATTTCACATGGTCCAGCCCTCGTGTTCGTGTGTTAACCCATTTAACTCATTCCGGGTCGAAATCGGATTCAGTCTAGTGCTGATGCAAGGCGGTCAAGATTGTTCGAACAGGCCTTGCACTGACTGAAGCTGGGCTCTCCCGGGTCATACCAGGTTTATGTGTGATCCGTGTTTGTCATAAAAAATAAATAAATAAAAAAGAAAGCTTCCGCCGTCGTCTCTTCCCTATGTTAGGCCTTTGATGGTATAAAAGGTAGAACAGACAAAGAGGAAGCTTGACCAATGACTAGTACATGTTCTACTTTTCCCAAAGTCCAAACACATATTAATTTGGTCCACCGTCGTCCGACCTCCGTTCCTCCCTGTAACCAGTAATATTACTTTCATAACAACTTCTCTTTGCCACGTGACAAGAAGGCTCGCTTTCCTTTCCTTCTCGGTCAAGAAGATAGATGGGTTGGACGGTTGGGTGGGTCGTCGCCTGCATACCTGCCAAAAGAAAAAAAGGGGCAGGAGTCGTCCACCACCAAGGCTACAGCCGTGTGGTGTGGTTTGGTGGGGACTGGGGAGACACTAAAATGTGAGAATTCAAATCAGCCCCCACAACATACAAAATAGTTTTCCACAATATCTTACACTACATCTCTGTCATGTATTAAGAACATCTCATGATATCAGAAATAATGAAACATCATCGGGAGATGTTCCCATTATATAGCAGTAGCAGAGATGTGCTGTGGGACGATATAAGAAACTATCTTGTGAGAGGCTCTCCTAAAATATCGGCAAATTCGGATTTACCAGACTTTGATAGTTGATACTTGACACTTTATTCTCCCCGCCATGAATCGACTCGTCACTACAAGGCCACAATTTGTAATGTGTATTTTGTAGTACCTCCGACCCGTACCTCACACGCTCTATTATTGTGAATTGTGATCACGAGTCGCATCTCACACCAAAACGGCAAAACCAAACGGCACGGTTGAAATTGCACCACAAGGCAAGGCAAGGGAAGGGATCTCTTCTTATTGAAATTGACTGACAGATGGACGGAAAATGTTGTAAAGTAAGTAAAACACTAAACCTCCTCCTCGCTGTAAAATTTGTAATGTACACTAACACTACTTTCTCCCATTCACCAGGCTCTATGTTTCGTATAAATGTTGTAAAGTTGAAATCTAAAAAAATTGCTTTATTAATTGTGTAATTCAATAATATCGTCCCACGCGGTGCTGCAAGACCTAAATTCATGTATTGAGTTGGCTTTCACCCTCTTCCTCTTCGCTTTCCAAATCCGTGGAATTCGCACTAAATCCACTCAGTAATCTGCGCAACACCCCTTCAACCCCTCTTACGTTAGGTGTGGTTGTGATAATTTAAGGCACCGTTTGGTTTGTAAGAATAGCGGTTTTGAATCGAAATTGGAATAGCCGATTTGAAATGGATTGTTCCAATTTCAACTGTTTTGATTGGACAAAATTTGAGGGAATGGTTTGTAGGAATGACATTCTCCCATTTGAGGGAATGGTCATTCCCTTCCCCTTTTTTGAGAATGAATCTCATTCTTGTTGATTCTAATTTCCATTCTCATTCATGTCTAAACCAAATAGATTATGGGAATGGACCATTCCGATTCTTATTCTAATTCTGAAGGATTTTGATTCTGTCTGTGAATCAAATGGACCCTAAATTCTGAATCGAGTCTTTTCCCAAGCTTTTTGCACCATCATTGACTTGGACTATTGGACCATTCAGCCCAGAAACCATCAATCCAGATAACGATTTTTTTATCTTTTTGTTTTAATTATTTTTATGAAATTGCAATGAATCGTCTATTTTGACCAGACGATCAAACCAATGACTAAATCAGTTCCAGTCAAGGTTCAAAAATTTGAACTGTATCAGCCGATACGTATCATTCCGGGTATAAGTCCAATACACAAAACGCATAGAAATTATCTATGGCGTTCCTTTTCATATGTATCAATCTGTATCAAACTGTTTCGGGTCTATATCAGTCGATACAGTTCTGAAAGATACAGTGATACAAGTCCCCTTCTCTCTCATTATTTTCATTAAATTATATTTAGGGCTGAATTAACTCTCATTAATTTTATATTTACTCCTATATTTAAGTGCAATTTCTCTCCCGTTAATTAGTTAATTACTCCTATAATTAATGCATTATTTTAAATTTGAATTTCAATTTTAGCACCTAATTGGAATTCTCTTCTAATTAATTTCGTTAATTAATAACCCTCTTTCTCATTAAATTCGTTTTATTAGTATAAAACTACAAACTTAGCAATAGCAAAATTTGAACCTTATCCATTAGGCTTTAACAAGTAGAGGTTCACCACTAAGCCACGTCCATTTGCTTGCTCTAGGTTTATGAATTTTTATTTTTAGTAAATTTTCTCTTTTTCTTTGTATGTTTGTCAATAAATGCTAGAATTAATTATTAAAATTTATGTATTAATAGATATTAAGACAAATTATATTGATTATTTTAAAACTACTATATATCAATATACATTTTAGTTTTTTTTTTTGTTTTTTCGTGTTTTAGTTATTTCATCATTTTTCAATAGTTACTAAATGTGTCTTGATATATATCTCAAATTTTATATAGACCATTAAATTACAGTTTTTTTTTTTACTTTTAAATAACTTATTTACAATCATATAAAACTTGTAACTATTGTTATTAATACATTTTTTAGGATTTATTTGAGTTTCTTAGCATATTTATGTGTATTTTGATTATTCATCTATATTCATGCATATCCAAAACTTATCCTGATTCATCTCTTAAAATTATCTTTGCAATATACCTTATATTTCCCATACTTTAAACATTTGTTCCAGTTTTGGATCAGTTTTTTAAAACACAACTAGAAAAAAAAATGAACAGTTTAACATCCCATCAAATATCTGGTGGGATTCGTTCTGTTACAACTACACAGATAAAAACCAACTAAGGATAAGTTTTATCCATCGAACTTCTTGTAGGAGAGAATAACAACTCTTCCTGTATACTTCTTTATTTCTTCCATATCTGTAACTAAATCCATCACACGTGTACCGTATTAATAGCAGTATATATAAACGCCAGGTAAGTGCTCATACCTTCTTTGCAATTGGTAGAAGACAGGTAGGTGGAGAGCTGGGAGTTCAACCACCTAAGCCCAATCGCATGGCTTTCCCATGTATCCGAATACTATAATGTGATGTTTGGCATCGAAGATGATTTCTCCCTGCTGATTATCAAGAAATTACTGAAATCGGTGATTTCTGGAATCAGTGATTTTTGAAAAATCATAAAAAAATATTGTTTGGTACTATTTATGCTATGTAAGTTGATTTTTGAGAAATCAATTTAAGTCTATTTGATACCGATTTTTAAGGTCCTTTTATTTTTGTATTAGAGTTATTATTCAATGCTATGTTGGGTGTTATGTCATCCTTAAAAAAAATCGGAATCAATTAAAAATCAGAAAATCATCAGAAAAGATGATCCCTGAAAAAGGCTGATTTTAGTAATCATTTCTTAACTGATTTCTCAAAAATCGGTATAATCAACCAACCAAACAAAAAAACAATCACTGATTCTTCAAATGATGATATAGATACTGATTAGTGTTGCACATAATCTCTATTCCTTCAATATTAATCCTATTCATTTGTTCAGGCCTTGAGGGCTACTTTAGGTGCAGGAATTGAGTTTGGCTTCAGTCAGAACAAGCCCATGCTCACACAGTTCCAACAGCCTCTTGTAACCTTGTATTGGGAATATCTACCCATGAAGTAAAGCATATAAGTAGGGAGATATTCCCAATGCAAGGCTGTAAAGATTGTTCGAACAGGCTTTGCTCTGACTGAAGCTGGACTCATTGCTTCTATATGACTGTAGACAGACTCCATTCATACATGGATCAACTTTAATAAATAAACAAATGGTGTCTCCTCTCCTCTCTGACTATGGTGTTCAGGCCTTCACAACCTCAACCTCAAAAACTGAATTTTGCCAAAATCCATGTGCCAGAGATCGTCTCTTTTTGAGATCAAATCAGCCCCTACAAGATTGCCCCCTACAACATCACACAGCACATTCTCGCAGTGTATTAGAAACATCTCCTGATGATAACATAATCATTTTTAATACTATTATTGGGAGATATTTCCAGTACACGGCAAGATGTGCTGTAGAACATGGTGGGGAAAATTTTGTGGGAGGCTGATTTGAACTACTCTTTTTTAAATACTTCTCTCTGTTTCTCACTTTCTCTCTTGAGCGTTTACGCCAAACATAACCCCTTCAGAGAAAAGGTCAACACGTGATTGTAACAGCTTTAGGTTGGCAACATTTCACTTGCTGCGGTTTCTTTTAAAATTCATGGTGGATCCTTGGTTAACGGTATTGGAGTCCAAGTCAATCTTTTGACCCACTGGATGAGGTTTATGTGGTTTCCCATGGACAAAATATGTGAAGACATCCACACACAGAGAGACCAAATTCAGTTATACGTACCTTGTTGTAATTGAAAAGTTGGCCGATGGTGGTAATCGTGCTTGATTGTTCAAACTTAAAAACTTGTTATTTAGCTGTAGATGATAGAGACCATAGAGGTCGCTTATGGCAGCTGA